GACACAATTGCCATGGAAGGTTAATGAGATTTCATCAGGCTTCTTTGAAAAATTCGAGCCCATTTGTGCAGATTACAATCAAAAGCATGCTAGTGAAAAACAGCATGATTTCAATAGGCTTGTAAATAGCGCTTTGGACATGGTTCCCTGAGCAGTGTTGACAGGGGCCTTTTTTCATGAATACCAAACTAGCCAATCTACTGTCCTGCTAGGCATGATACAGCACTCTTTCACAACACAGTTATAGCATACATTACAAATGATAATTCAACCCACAGTAGACAGGGAATCATGTCTGCACCATTGTGTCAATTCCAGTCAACTGCAGTGGCTTGGATAGAGAAGATCCCATCTCAGGCAGGGGGCTGGATTAGATGATGGCTGGAGGTCCCTTCTAGCTCTGCTTCTCTATGATTCTATGGTAGACAAGGAAAATTTCCTTATCCCAGGTTGACTGCCATCCTAGATTGGCACTCTTCTGCTGGGAAAGAAAAGGATGAACTTACTAAAGAGATTCTGTAAGAAATCTCATTCATGCTCCCATATGGTACATCCATTTAAAAATATTCTGCTCATGTTGAATTCTTATGCCTTAATAGACACTCAAGGACATTTCATTCTAATTTAAGATCATATAATTGGGGAAGTCCATTTAAAGATTAAGTAATACAAACACGTTCAATTAGAAGTCATATTTTGTTTAACAAAAAACTGCTCTAACAGAAATCTTTAAATGTAGACAAGTTCTATCTTAAGTGATGAAAGGAGGTATTTGGGATGACAGCTGAGACAGATGGCACACCTCAAAGAATAAATATAACTTATAAACTGTCATATTTAGCCTAACAGGACAATTGCAGAAACACAAGGATGCTGTGTAATAGATCTTTCTTAACAGCCCTTTGATAAGGAAAAAAAAAGAACATTGCGTTGGGGAGACAGAGATACATGGTGGAGACTTTTGCTTAGGGTAGGTATAGTTTTTATCTCATTTTTTTCTGCTCTCTTTTTCTGTTTATTCCTAGCATTTGTCACTGATGCAGTATTGTAACTGTTACAAGAATACCATTTTGCATCCATTGTTTTGGGTCCTGATCCTAAAGACAGTTGGGCATATTCCTTTATCCACAACAATAATCCTATCCTCACTGAAGTTTTTCGGTCTGTGTGTTTGCTCTATCAGGTTTTTAGTATTGTACACATGCAAATCATTGGATTTTCAAGAACTTGCACTAAATAAACTTTGTTAAAAAAAGCAAAACACTTTTTTTCCAGGAGAAAATGCTATAAGCAAAAATCATTTCAAATTTCTAATTATCCTGAAATGGAAGTTTAAATTGGAAGATGTGGTCCTCACCTGGGGTAAATCAGGGTAGTGTTTTTCAAATCTATGCCCTGCCTAAACCTCCAGACTCATGGACCGATCTGCACACAATCTAGGGAAGAGGGGCTATGACAGGACCCTGAGGTGTCAGGGCCCTCCCAGAAATACCTCCTGGGTCCAAGTAAGCTTATTGGTTACCCCCACTCTGCTGAATAGGTATGTCCAGGTTATTAATTTGCCCAGAAATCACAATTTGCCACTGGCACATCAGTCAAATAGCAGAAGGGATTTATTAGAGAAAGAAAAAAAAGTGATCAAATGCTTTCACAATAGATTATGGTAAAACATGGTCAACCTCCCCTCAGTCACAGCTAGCTCCTTCCTCTGGGGATCTCCGGTCCCCCTCTCTGCACAGGGAGCCCTTTCCTCACTGTCACTCCTGCCAAAATATTCCCCACAGTCTGCCCACACCCCCTCCTCCTACCTTCAACAGAGCCAGAGAATCCTCCCGAGTGGCTCTGCTGTTGGCTCTGGGACAGGGGTTATACAACTTTTCCATGCAATTTTTTTAGTATGGCTATTTAACAGAGTACATTTCCACCAACTGAGAATCTGGCTCACAGGCTTGGACTAATTACAGTGTTCTGAGAGTGCAGGATAAAACCTGAACAAGGAACTGTTCACTGGAATTTAGTTCACAGTTCCCACCCCCCCAAAAAAAACAAACCCAACCTGTATTTTTGCACAAGAGCCTAAAAGCTAGTTCCCATAACCCTTGATCATCCCAATCTAAAACTTTCTTAACATTGTGGAACTCTTAAAAATTACTACAACTGGTGTGTCACTTTCCATATAAATTTGTTCCAATTTGGGCGCAGTGTTGGGAGGGACCGTGGAGGAGACAATCTCATTGATTTGTATGAAACGATTTTTTTTACCGTGAATAATCATGTTCATTTTGGTAGTTCCTAAGGGCCAATCAGGGAATGCACTGTGCCAGGCACTGTATGACTACAGAGTTATAGATGGTCTGTGCTTACAATCTAACTAAATTAAATGGATACAGGGGAAAATACATAGTGCACAGAGGGAACAATGTCATAGCAGCAAGTGGTATGTTACTTCTGTGCGGGCCGGGAGCGACCCAAGCCCTTTTTCGTGCTGCACGCGGGCTGTGGCCAGCAGCCCGGGCACGCCGGGTTGGAGAGGGAAGGCCGTCGAGCTGGAATTAGGCACGGATACGAATCGGTAGTTTTAAAGATTGTTTACTTACACCGAGATGGCAGCGGTGCAGGCTGGAAAACTTGATTGAGTTGCAGTTACACACAGACAACACAGATGGTCTCGTGGAGGTTGCTAGGCTCCACGGTGCAGAGCTCCGGATGCTCTGGGTGAACGAGCCACCAAAATGAGAATCGTAGATACGTCTTATAAAAGTCGCGCTCGAAGACGGGAAGAGGTGGGCGGTGGATCAGGCCACCAAGCTCCTCTGGATCTCACACAGGGTTTCTATTACCCTGCCGTGTACCCAGAGTCCCCACGAGATGGATGTGGAGTCCACTTCAGCTTGGGCGGAAACCGCTCAAGCCTCTTATACGGCTAACAAGCCAATCGTTAGCTGCCACGTGTGAATAATTTAGCACTAGCCAATCACGGGGAACGAATTTGCATACCGGTGGCGGGAACTCTTTTGCACCGTGCATTCCTCTTGCAACATGAGCAATGCACTCTGCAAAAGAAGCTGCAGAAAAGGCGGGAAACTCGTCCCTGCACCGGGGTTTCCTCTTGCTACAGGAAACTCTCCCATGCAATGCTCTGCAACTTGGTGGGGATAATTCTGGTGCCGAAGCGCACACACAATCATGCCTTTTGGGTCATGACAACTTCCATAGGTTTTTCAAGGGGGTGCTATTTAGGATGGCATAAGCCAAATGAAAAAAGGAGAGAGGAACACTGAAAAAAAAGGGATGAGTTCAGGGTAGGAAAGAAGTGGGTCAGAGGGGCAGGTGGAATGGAAGCTGAGAAGAGTAACTATGAGGGAAGGAGGTTGGGGAGGGTTGGAGCTAAATGTCAGGCAGAACAGGACAGAGACCATCCACCCAGGACTGTCTTGGAATAAAGAAAAGTCCCCATTTAGCAGAGGTGCTTCAGCAGCTACTCCTCGGGCTGCCTCCTCCCTACAGCTTTTGCCCAAGACCACACGGTGTGGGAAGACAACTCCTGAGTCTCAGTGTGCCCATTGTGAAGGTGGGAGTTAACTCCACATGACATTTCCATTCACTACCATAGGCAGAACTAGGTGGGACTTCACTCTGTGGTACTTAGTTCCAAACTCCTATTTCTCACCTACCACCTATGATGATGCAGGAATTTGAACAGAAATCACTCCAACACTGCTATCAGTAAAAATCACTTGGATGGGTTAATAGTCGCAGTTCCGCTTCTAGCATCGCTCTTTAAGCCAGAAATTAGCCCAACAGGAAAAAGGTGCTCTGATTTTTTCATGCAGCACAAACTCAGTGACCGGGGAGGACAAATATTTTGAGCGGAGGGCTGCTTACTGAGTTTTGGCAAGCCATCAAGGGCCGCATGACAGGCAGCCAGGGGCAGATCAATATTAATTTTCTAAATTTTGTAGGGGCCCTGCGGGCCAGATAGACTGGCCTGGTGGGCTGCATCTGGCCCGCGGGCTGCATTTTGCCCACCCCTGGTCTAGACAGGCAGACTGCTCCCTTTGCTTGTTCCCAAGCTCTCAGTTCAGTTTCTGAGCCTGATGTATCTTTTCAGCTGCAGCGTGTACCCAGTCCAGTAGTTCATTCAGTCCCTCTTCAAACAGCATCCCATTCATCCTGGCAGAGAAGAGCTGGCAGCAGTAAGCAAGAACAGTTCCCTAACCAGCCAACCATGCTTGCCTTTTCACATTCCTCATCTATGGAATGGGACCTCCACAGTATATTCAAAAGCCAGCCTTTCCCCACCCAAATTTTAATGTAACACATATAATAAACTAAGCTTAATATTAAAATATTAAACCTTCAGTTACTGTAAACATGGTCATTTTCTCTTATGAAAAGCCCTGGCATCTATTTTGAGAGGTCATTTCTTGACTTATTCAAGAAATTTAGAATCATGGCAATGGTATCCAAACAGCTGGAGAAACGGCAGGGTCTTTTGCTGGAAATTAATTCACAAAGAATTGGGAAATTATAATTCAGACATTCACTTAGGGCAGAACGTAAAGCCCTTTCTGGTCAATGGGAACCTTTTCATTGGCTTCAATGGGCTTTAAACAGACAGTGTCTAGGACTATAACAAAATAATTGATTAAAAACATATGACTTTTCCCAAAAGAGTGTTTGGAATCAGCTCATGAAGGGCAGACCACAGGGATCAGTAGAGAACCCAGACCCATCTATATTGAGAACTGAGGCCTCTGCACTTGCTCTGTATCCCTATAGGAAGCACTACTCTCTGGCAGTGTCACTTCGTTGAAACTACATTTCAGACAGCAGCTTTCTCTGAAACTTTTCAAGGGGAATCTTTATTGGGTTTGGAGGAGGTGTGCAGAAATGTAATCCATTTCTGCCATAAATTCTTTCAACATGAAACATGCTTAAAAATAGTTTTTATCATAAACGTTTTGATGTGCTTTATTTGGCCTGTGTAAGTGTCCAAAATGACTGGGGTTGCTTTTGTGTCTTTAAGGACCAATCAGCACTACAAAGCCAACAACTTTGGGAGCTGTCAGTGGGTAGGCAGTTTCACAAACACAGTGCCTTTAAAAATGCCTTTCTGAGTTGACCCTGGCCAAGGAACAAAACACTTTCCACTTCAGAAAAAAAACTGATTATTTTGAGGGACAAGCAGATTTAGGGCATCTGTGTAAAGCCCAGAACCCGCTTCTGCAGCCACATCTGAGGGAAAAGTCTGGCATGTTCTCTAGGGCCAGCAGCCACAGGGGATAATTTGCAGCTGAACTGAGCCCTAAGCAAATTGGCAGTTTCCATTGAGAAGTCCTTCTGACCCCATTCAATGTTATAACAGGGGTGACAGCAACACGCTTGGCATCTAGCATTTTAAAATTATTGTTTGTCTTTCCCCCCCACCCTTCTGCTCACCTTATCTAATGTAAATCCGACATAATCACTGAAAATGCTAGTAAAAGCATAGCGCTAGAAAGCCAAAATGAAGAGTCATTCAAATGATGTGTTCTGGTGCAATTGTATTTTGGTACCTCAGAGTGAAGGAGCAAGTGCTATCTTGCTCATGTTCAAAGGTCATTCATTATAACAGCAGTTTGAACAGAAGTCTTGATTGCAGCTTTTGGACACAGATTCAGGTCTCGTCCAGGCAGGGGCTTCCCATAGGTAGCTTTAAAACATTGGGAATGCATCTACAAGTGCATATTAATGCATGGCAATAAATTCTGGTGCCGTTTTCACCTGAGTTTATTGCTCCTGGGCGCTTCATTTACACATACCAGGTTGAAGCAAACCAGGTTGGCAGGGGAACTGGGGGTCAGCCTGCCACCCAGAGCTGCTTTGACCCAGCTCAACGTGCTGTGGAGGGGCTGGCTAAGGCACAAGGGTGCTCCAGTGCTGGGCTAGCCAGCAGGCAGCCCCCACACTGAAGCATCCTCATGCCCCAGCCAGCTGGTCAGCATCCACATGTGCTGTGCTGTAAAGTAAAACACCCTGCAACAGGATAGTATTTGTTTTTACAAGTACTAACCTACGGCGGAAGGTATTAGTTTCCTGCGGCCTAATGGGGGCGCATGTGTAGATGCCAAGACGTTTACTGCGGAGCTAATTAGTCAACTCCACAGTAAACATCTCATGTAGATGCACCCTGGAACATCTTGATGGTAATCCATGTGGCTATTTCAACAATTATTTTTAGGACAAATATATTGCCGTGAAACATTTCATAGATGACATGACCAGGATCCAATAACTTTGACATGTTAGTTATTGGTATTTGTTACACTTCAAAACCGTACATGTCATTGAAATTCCAGTAAGAATTAACATGTGAAATATGCTTTTAAAAGAATTATGGAACTGCACAGGAAACTCAACCTAGACAATGTTTGTTTTTACTAGCCAACACCTTCACCAGGTGCATATGCTGTACGGGATTTTCTTGAAGAAGCCCAGCTCAACCCAGTGAAACCCACATACAATTTTAAAGGAGAAGGCAGAAAGAGACCTTCCATCTTTCATCCAAAAGTGGACCTTTCCATTCTGGGTGTTTACACATATATGCCTCCTAGTTTTACTGATTTAGCAAGAAAAAGGCTAGCAACATATTCATTTAAAAGCACGCCAAGGAAAAGTTCCAACACCTTAAATTTCAGAGATAAGGTAAAAACAGAATAATAGTTACATCTCTGTCTTGAATGAGATGAGATAGGGGAGAACAAGAGATCACCTTGAATATGATATACTATGATAGAGTTTTAAAAAGCATTACTTCAATTTTTTTGATACTATATTTTTTAATTATCCTATTTTAAAAACACACCTATGATCCCAGTCTGAGGAGGCCCTGAGTGGCATTCTCACAGGCTGGACTTTGGGAAACCATTGAGGCTGCATCCCATCCTCAGACATATACTTCCCAAGATACCAGCAGTCCCCAGATACTCACTCACTTCTCAAACTTCCTTCTCCTATGCCCATCACAACCTCTTCTCCATTCTGACCCCAGTTTCCTTTTTCAGCTGGCCCTGTTTGCTTCAAAGGTTCCAGCTCCTGTGAATTCCCAGGTCCCGCAGCCATTCCTATCAGATGCCTTTCTCAGGCGGTCCCAGCCACAGTGTCCAGAGTCATCTTAATAGTCTCTGTACTTTTCTGTGTTGCAGAAACTTTGTTTCCTCCCTTCCACATCAATCTGCTCTGCAGTAGGATGGGGACAAAAGGTTCTGTGTTTAGCTAAGAACCACTTGAATGGGACCATCCAGGCAGAATTTCTTACCTATCAAACAGCCCTCAGGTGACCATGGTTCACCTTTGTTCACATACTATTCCTGCAACCTCCTGGTTTAGTAACAATGACAATTTAAGGGACAGGTTTCACGTCCTTAGCCGATCTTCTAATACAAAGATGGAAGTTTTCTGGTGGATAAGAACAGTTGTCCTGCCCTCTGCAGTTGCCATATGGAAGGTCTTTAAAGTTAAGAGATCCCTCTCTGATCCAACTCACCAGATGACATAGCATGCTGGATCCAGTGGGTTGTGGGGAAAGGGAAAGAAACTGGTTTTGAAGGAGACCCAACTTTGCTTGGAGCAGCTACAGAGGAGCAAGGTTTTTTCAGGTGCATATCTTCCATCTGTGTTTGAAGATTTAACCACTGGATTTATATATAATTTTTCAGCATCTTCTTATAAATTATGTTTAGAGGCATGATTTTAATGCTCTTTTGAGAAGTATTACAAGACTTCATTAACTAGCCTTGGAAAGCTTGGAAAAAAATTGGAAAGTTGTGTTTGGAAAGGATCTGGAAAGAGTTCCACCCCAAAGCTGAAAGGCCCATTGGCTTCCTTGAGTAGGACTAGACCCAGAGAACACAGCTATAAAAATGATGGGCCAAGAATATGAGCTAAATTTTGCCCTCCTTAGAATAGCTGTATTGCTTAAAGCAAAGCTGTGTATGATGCTCTTTGAGAAGAAAGTAGTAACTTGACGTCAAACCTTGATACCCTATCATTACCCAGTCTTAACCAACCACTCCTTTTAGGATATTGACCTTGCACCGGGACAATACAACCTTCTCCCTCCTGAAGTTCCCAAGTTTTCAGCCAAGTGAGTAAACTGATTTTCTTATCATTTAGGTGTTTGGATGTATTACAAAGTCTGTTTTATTTTCCAGGACTTCAGAATTTCAGAGCACCTGCAGCTCTCATTTATGTACCTAATCCAAAGTCCTTCAAGTCTCACATTAACTCAGACCTTAAGTCAGTATCTTGACTCCTAGCTCTGCTGTAGGCTCCAGTTTAATAAAGTATTCAGATATATACATAAGCCATCCCCATTCAACACAGCCATTAAGAACGTGTTTGTCTTAAAACACACTTCACTCCCAGTGACTTCACTAGATTTGCTTAAAGCTAAACATTAGCTCAAGTGTTAACTGAATTGGGACCATAATACTCACTTGACTTGAAGTTGTCTGTGCTTAGCACTTCTAGAAAACAGGCTTTCTACATTAGTAGGCATCTAAGGGTGCCTGTAGACATGCAGGGACACTGCTCTGACGTAATTACAGCACATCAGAACAGACTCAATTAATCATTCTGATTAATTGAGCCTGCTGGAGCGTTCTCACTACTGTGCTCCAGCTGCCCCTGTGCCTTGTATATTCAACGTCCCCATCCTTCAAAATGGTGGCAGAGGTGCTTTATCTGAAGTTTGTTGAATGAGCTTTAGTTAAAGCACCCTTCCCACCATTTTGAAGTGTGGGATGCTGAATACACAAGACACTGCAGGTGCTTTAATTAGAGCAGTTCTCAGAGCCACCCTAATTAAAGACTTCCTGCCTCCCAAGCATGTGTAAAAATGCCTGAAAATACCTACCTTTTTGGCATCCAGATTTGAAAATCGGGCCCTCTATATGTGTTGATTAACATTAATGGAAATTGCTTAGCTATATTTTTTATATACCATTGAAGGATACTGCAAGGCCTCCATAGCTTTTCAGTATATTTTACCGAAACAGAACAATTTCTGTTCCATTATCTAGCACTGAAAATGACAGACGGCTACACTTTCTTGTACTGAAACAAAAACAGGTATAGAAACTGTTGTTAAAGATGAAAGTAACAGTAAGAACATGACTCAGATGATCTTACCTGCTTCTTTTCCAAAACTTAGGCAGTTTATGTTTCGTTCTGCAGTTCAAAGGTGCAGATCAACCTACTTCACTCCTGTAAGTACTATGTGGAAAAATATTAACTGATGATAAGAAATGTTTGGGTGTCTAAAAGAAGGGAAAAGAAAAAAATACCTGGTTCTTCTGTGTATTTAAAAATGATCTTTCCTGGTTTGTAGAGTATGCTTGGGGTAGAAATCCCTTATTCCTTGTGCACTGACTTCCTAAATGGAAGTTTGACTGGCCAAGTAACTGGCATTTTTGGAAATTATGCACAGCTTGCACTTCTATTACCACTGTAGTGTAGAGACCCAAGTGTGCTTCTGTACACTGGGTATGTGCAGTTGTCTTTGTGCTGGACATGTACATACCCAGCCATGTGGATATGTAAATTATTGTGGACATATAACTCATGAACGTGTAGCTGGACAAAATCCAGTAACTAATGCGTGTAAGACACCAGAGAAAGAGAAGGATGACCCACCCATGTCTAAGCTCCAAGAGCTAAACAGGAGACACTTGCCCAGGAAATACAAAACCAGACTCTAGGCTCCTCCTTCCTCAGGAGGGATTTGAAGTTGTATCTACCAGGCCACAGGTTTGGCATTATCCAGGCTATTGCCCAGCTATGCTTTTGAGGCTGGAACACCCTGGGCAACTATGAGAGGGAAATATATAATTATATAATATATAAATATATACAAACTCAAGGATGTGTGACTGAATGGCTGTTGTTCTCAAAGGGAACAGGTCCAGGCTTCTAGCCTGGAGCCTTGCTCCCCACGCAGGATAAACTCCCTGTACCCAGTGATTGTTAATGCGAGGTGCCATGCCTCGGCTTCAGAAGGAATGAGGGAGGAAAAACTGGATAATGCCTAACCTGTGCATAGTGCTTAGAGCACCATGCTGGGAAGTCAGAGAGTTATAAGGTCAACCCCACTCTGGGCAAGGGGTGCCTAGATCCTGCTTCCAGGACAAGTGCTCTTAGTCACTTGGCTACTGGGGCTAGATGATGGGAAGGCCCTCCTCCACTGTGTTTAAGTGCCAAAAACACCAATTCCATGGCTAGAAAACTGCTATTTAGGCTCCCAAAGTGGACTAGAACTCCGCTCTTAGTTTTCTATAGTATGCAAAGACCTTGATCCTACAAACAATGATGCTTGTGAATTAACTTGGTGCCTGGGAATAGTTTTTTACTACAGAGAGACTACTCCTGTGAGAAAACAACACAGAAGGTTAAGTATTTGCAGGATCTGATCCAAAATAGCTTAGGAAAATGATTATACACTTTGTCTCTGCTTTGGCAATCACTCAATCTCAACATCTATTTATGGCAAGCCTACTATAAAACAATGTTCATTGTTCCTATTTTTCAGCAG